TTGACAAGTTCCAAGTCAGCTGGTTCAGATTTATTGTAACTTTAGACTTTTATTCCTTCATAAGAACTTCTCAGGTGGACAACACTGATGTCATGGTGCAGCTTCCATCTATTCACCTGTTAAAGTCTAAGTTTAGATGAAACACGAGCACTTTATGCAAACTCACGAGTAAACACAGAAGAAAGGAAACGAAGGAAACAGAAAAACGCTTCAACGTTTAAGTTAAATACTCTGATTTAATGGATTCATTAAGTCACAGTATTTCAGTTCTGTTGTTCCTACAGCGGATCCAAACACTGACTTCCTGTTTGCTTTCAGAACATTTCTCTGCAGCATCTCTGCTCCACTCTGAATTCACACCAACAGCTTCCACAGCTGGAAGCTGCTGCTAGGAAGAGAAAATACTCTTCAAAATTAATTTCACTGAGCTGAATAGAAAAAGGTCCAAAGTGTGACCATCCTGCTGCTGCTTCCTGCCCCAGCATCCCGTCACTATGAGGTCCACAGCTCCTTATTATGGGATGTGTGAATACAGAGATAACAGATCAGGGTTTGGGGGTAACTAGAGTTCAGTCCTCAGACTCTCTGGTTCTGCTCGTCGCTGTCGGTACCTATAGTTTCCTGTTTTCATACCTGACTGATTACTTTTCAGAGGAAGCGAGATGTTGTGGCCGGAGATGCTGAGCTGGATGCGCAGAGGCAGCAGCTTCTCCGGCTGAATGTCAAACTGCTTTTTCTACGAGGAATCAGACTCCTGTGATGTGTGCTGTCTGCCTGGGGCTGGACTGGGCCGGGCCAAACTTCAAAAAGCTGCTTCACACTGAGACGCCGCAGATGCTTTTATTTTGTTTAAGTGGTCTGAGAGCAGAGCAGAGGGCTGAGACAGTAAATAGCAGCGATGACGCTGGATTATCTCAGATGAGACTTTTCAGGGCGATCAGGACTCTTTTATCTTCCAGGCTGCCGCCTCTCCGGGGCTGTAATCCATTATTAAGCAGAAACCTGACCTCACACAGTCCGACCGTCAGCAGAAACATGACACGGGCCTCAAGATCAAACCTGCAAAGACCTGATGCAGGTAAAAGTGTGCAGCTCTGAGGCTCACGGACACATTAGCAGGAACATGCTGGTGTTGAGCAGCTACAGACAGAACAGCACCGTCACATCTAACTACTGATACAT